CTCCAAGTCAGTGGAAGTTTTTGATGATGAGTTTTGACAGAAGCTGGATTAGGCCTAAAACATTCCCACTTTTTAGCCATTGACAATTTTTTTGATGGTTTTATAACCAGTAGAGACTTCCTACCACTATACAAATACAACAACATTGCAAAGACTTCCCCCAGGGAGATGTCTTTTCTTTTAGCTGCATACCTTGTGACACCCCAAGGGAAATCATACAGTGTAGGGAAAAAGAACTTGGTATCTGTAAAGTTGCTTAGCTTTTTCCCTACTCTAATGGATATTTGTATTTTATTATCTCTGGAGACAATCTACTATTTGGGGAAAGAATGAAAACAACCCTCCTAAAATAGAGTTTTGCAGTTTAATGATCCCTGCACTGAAATATTACATTGTACACTTAGGCTGCATGGAAGCTTGAGAGGGAGGGTGGAACTATCACAGGATCAGAGCTCCACGACCCCGTGTCCTTTGCCATCTCGGTCTCCTCTTCATAAGGTGATGGTGACCCCTCACGGAGCTGTTACAATAATTAGTTTATATAATACAAGTACATGGCTCGAGGGGTAAAGCTTTTTGTACCTGCAGAACTTCCAACATTCCCAGGTTGCCTTTTGGTGTGGGATTACAGAACATCTGCTCTGTTTAGTCCTCCTAGTATTACTGTTAATGTTTTGGCAAAGGCACCTGGAACACAGCATAGATGCACATGTACATGATATCAAAAGTCAAAAGGGGTGTATGCAGGTCCTGTTTTGATTTATAGCGTGTCAAATACAGAAGATAAACCAAAATAATGTTTGGCTTGATGGCTTAATTTACACGAAAATGGGAAGATCCAGAAATAATTGTTTCTCAGCTACTTTAGGGCCTGTCCCAGATTGCTACCTGTAGTAAAAAGGGGGATGGGATCTATAAATGCTTGTCAGGCCAAAGGAACTGCCAGGCTGCAGTGAGACCCAGAAGCTGGGCTACTCTGAGCATTTTTCCTGTGGTAGATAAGAGGTGTAAGGAAAAGGAGCAGTGTGTGAACGGTCAGCAGTAATGCTGGGAGCAGGGGAGGGGTAAGCTGGAGCCAGCAGCTTTAAGTGGAGAGCCTCAAGGGATCATTATGTCCATCCGTGCTGACCTGAAGACGAAAATCCCACACATTTGCAGCGTCTACGTGGGCTTTGCTGTTCCTCCCACCCAGTCCCTAGTTCCTACTCATGTATCTGTTTTCCAGGGTCAGAGTTGTTTCTGAGGCAAACTGAGAGCCAGTTTCCTTGCATGTGAGTAGAGCAATACAAGATACTTGTTTGCTTTCTCTCCTTCACCTTCTGTTCCCAAACGGTGGTTCCCCACCCAGGCAAGGAGCAGGGGTGAGGTCTGCAAGAGCACAGCTATACTCAAATTTCCACTGTGCCCTCCCCCTTGCACCTCTGTGCAGAGCAATAGATGGTTCCCACAGGACACAGCTCCTGCTGCAGTGCACTGGCTGGGAAGGCATCAGAGCTGCAGTCTGACACAGGACCAAGTTGAAGCAGTTTGGGTCTTATTTGCCCCTGTGACCTTGGATTAGTCACTTCGATGTGCACATCTCAGTATTCAGGGGAGCGGGATGGCATTGATGGCACTGCAGCACCTCAGCACATCATTTCATGTCTCCCTCAGCCACTGGCCCTAAAATGGAGACCAGGATATGAGCCCAGAAAGGGCAAGCTGTGACAGCAGTGCTGTGCTGGTGTTGCTGGGAATGACATGTTGTGCTTTCCAGCCTCCTAGAAGGAAGGAGACTTCAAACAACCCAGTGATTCAGCCCTTGATGGCAGCAGCACACTACCTGGGGGAAGGACAGAACCCCACGGAGGAAGCAGGAGCTTAAATGGCTACTGTAGATGTGCTAAACTGAATATTTAAATCCTTTTAACAAGGATCAAAGAGTTGGCTTGGCACAGATAACAAATCTGAAAATTAAGTATACACCAAGAACTTGCAAATCTCAGCCCCTCTAAACAAATGTGAAAGGCTAAAAACATCTTTAAAATGCAGCCATAAGACAATTATTGAAAATGTCTTTTAAAGAGAAGCCTTTATGTGAGCAGAAGAGCTTCCCCAACAGAGGGAAAGGCAGCCCGGAGTGGTATCCTTGTTACCAGCATCAGCAGATGAGTGAGAGAGGCAGTCGGCTGTTTGAAGGGAATGAAATCTTTCACTTTCTGACCACACAGATTAGACACGAGGAGAAAATGTTGGCTGTTTTCAGTTATCTTGTGGTATTGAGGAGAAACCATCAAAGGGAAACCGTCTGCTTTGTGGGATAATCGTTGGGCAAGCAAGAGGATGCTGCAGATAAAGGAAGATGAGGCTTACCCAGAGAGACTGAGCCACAAAGAACAAAGATTAGTATTGGGGATGGCCTCACCTATGGGGAAAAGGAAATGGTAACATGGGGGAAAAGCAGTGCAAAAACTTCAAGAAATTTGGGTTCCTCGAGTGTGTTCTTGCAGCAGTGTGCACTGCCTTAAATTTCCTACTGAAGTTTTGCTGTTGTGATCAAGTTCTCATTTTGTAGTTTATAGAAGCATCATCTGCAGCTCAACTTTTGCAGTATTTATGTAGGCAAAATTCCCAGTGTTTTAAGGGGATTTTTCCATTGGTAGGTATGGGCTCTTAGGGCTTACTTTTGACTGGGTGAGGGCTTGGAGTCTGCACAATTACCATACCGTAAGTATTAATAGATCCTTCCTAATACGAAAGTTATTTGAATTTAAGATTGTAGTTTAGCTTTTCTAAACTCTACATAATCTATTTACTTACACTACAGCTTTCCTTCTGCACTTCCTAATCTGCAGCTGTAAAGATTCAAAATGCTTCACAACCTACAACTTGTGTATATTGATGGAAATGGCTCTGGAAGTCATGCCATGCTGCTGGAGCACGCCTAGTGACATTGCAAAGCCAGAATTTGGTCCTGGAAGCCTTCAGTCTGCTCCCAACTCTGCCCCATAATTGACTTCCAATTAATCCTATGGGTCAGCTCCCCTCTTTTGAGTGATGGAGTTCTGTTTCATGCCTTCTCTCATGTTGGTAGTTTCAGATCAGCGGGTGAGCCTGTGAGGATGCTCCACAAGACAACCTTGCTCCATTCAGCTCAGTGCCAAAAGGAGTCCTACCCAACAAAGTCACAGGTATGTGCTGCCACTTCTCACCCCTTGCCAGCTCCAGAACTCCTCTGAACCTCACCCCAGAGCCAAATTAACTGGGTATTTCCTTGCAGAAAATGAAGGAGAAAAAAAAACCCCAAGGCTTTGATAGGTTTTTCTGTGACAGTGAGCAGAACAGAAGAGAGGCAGCTCCCACCAACACCCGACATGGCACAGGGGGATACTGAGGCTCAGTGGTGGGATGAAGGGTGTTTGTGAAATGGGGATGCCCTGGGGCACTCTGCAGCCCAGATAAACCAGCAGCAGACCTGTTTCCCAACACTATCCTGATCCAAGGACGAGGAGATGAGTGAAGGCTGCACCCCTCTCCCCCAGGACACTGGCAGGACTAGCTCCACGTAAGCCTCCTCCCCTCCCCTCTGACTCAGCTCTAATGCTATGCTTAGCTTCTCACTCTCTCCTTCCTCAGGCAACTTGGTTCACTGTTCTTCACTCCCCCTTTGCTGACCGGCTGCTTGATATCGCTCCACACGCCCAACTGGCAGCACTGGCTCCCCCCAGCACTCCCAGGATACATCCCCACACCCACCTGAGCATGGGATACAGCCTCCCCTTCCCCTGCCATGATTTCTGGGGCCATATCCCAAGCTCAAGCACCCTGCATTCCTGTGAAGTTTGAAATCTTTGGGGCACATATAGAAGTTGTAGGAAGGTGCTGGAAGAGGGTCAGGGTTCAGGGTGTTCCTGCAAGCATCATGGAGCAGCACTGCAGCTCAGGGAGCAGATGTTACTCCAGCTGTGAGTCAAGTCATTTATTTGATGAGACAAAGAAAGAAAGAAAAAGAATCAGGGTGAGAAAACACACCTGGAAGGAAGCCTGGGCTGCTACATGATGGCGTTATGAGACTCCCCTTTTTGTTCATCCAGCAGCCTAAAGACCTCGGCACCTTTTCTGACTCACCTTTTGGGACACAAAATGGTGTGGGATAGATGGGAATTCCACATGCTTTCGTGCTGAGCCAGGAAAGGCCATACAAACCAGGGATGTGTGGCAGGCTTTACAGACTGACGTTATTTTACAATAGTTTGGTCTTGCTCCTCTTCTGAGGATTGATTTCTTTCTTAATGTGTGTGGATGAGCAATCAGCTGCAAGGACAGGAAAATGTTACTGTGCAGGCCCTTTGCAGCAAGAAAAGCAAATCTGGTCCAGGTTCACTCATAAACAGGTGAGTGCACTGGGACACAGCCATGTTTGGTTTTGGGAAAACTTGCTCCTGGCAGTAGATGACACACACCAGAATGGGCACGTCACTGCTCCTACGCACTCACCGTGGAAGCAGGGGACAACTCTGTCCCCAGAACTCAGAGGCCATCAGGCTGCTCACACCAGGCCGAAGGCTGGACACAGTGAGAAGACCCAACACTGCTGTCAGAGTTGTCTGCACACAAGGCAACTCCACTCTGGAAGCACCTGAGCTTTGTCAACACCCCCCAGCCAATATGAGTGAGTTATCTTATTGTAAGCATCCGAGACTTTAATTAAACCACGCTTTATAAGTGTGGGCACGATGCCACACGGGGAGGTTATGTGCCATTACACCTTGCCCCGCGGGTGTCTTGACCTGAGTCTCCACAATCCTGAAGATTCCTGCACTGCTGAGGGCCTGCCTCCAGCCCTCCGACCCCAGAGAGGCAACTGTAGGGTTGAAGACGTGCAGCTTTACAGGTGGTGCTTTGCTTACTCTGACTTTTATATTCATCATACAAAATTAATAATTTACTGCTAACAGTTGAGGTTTCTAGGACTTCACCAGTTGTTTTGAAGAGCCAGGAGGTGATATTTTGCCCAGAAGTAGATTCTGAATTGATTTTTATTTTTATTTTAAAGCTTTCCCTTTCTGCAGCAAATATTGGCATTTCTGTTCTTTGTCCCAAAGTCAAGTGAAGAAAGTACAGAACTTTAAAATTTTCTATGGAAGTGCAAATCAAACTTCCAGAGATCTATTTTCTTTTGCCTTGCCTACAGGCTTTGAAGGTTTAAAAACCTTTTAAACCAAGGTTTGGGGGTTTGGTTTGAGGAAGGGGTAGAAGACAATGCTTAATTACATTTAGTTCTAAAGGATGTCTTAAATTTTTACAGAAAACTTTCAAATAGTAAAACAAAACAAAATAAACTCAGATAAGGAAATACTCTTTCTTTTCCCTCAGGGTGCCTGAAAACTGCACAACATAAATATAACCCTAAACAAAACTTGCTTGAATTGTCTCCTATCTGAGAAATGCAGAAGAAAACAACTGCTGAAAGAAGTGTCACACGGGGAGATTCTTCGATTACTGGTCCACTTCTTCGAGCTGCCTTAAAAAAAAAAAGAAAGGAAAACCATCAATTATGTAAGAAAACTCAGCTCTCCTCCCGGTGAGTGACAAAGTGGCTCTTCCCCCCAGGACCTGGCAGACCAGGCAGCTGCCGGTGCCGCTCTGCCCGGGCCACTTTGCGATTTTAAAGTCTCTTGGAAGGAGCCGGCCGGGAGAGGCTCCCCCCGGCCCGCCCCGTCCAACCACAGCGATGGCTTGTCTTGGCCAAACCCCGAGACTTCGGCGTTCGTCGGGAATGAAAGAAAGTGACATGCTGGAAGGAGGGGAGTGGGGGAGAGAGGAAGGGCTGTCCCTGCTCCTGCAAGGGCGGGATCTTTTCTCCTGCTTGATCTATGGAGCCCGCCCCCTTAAATTGACTCCCGGGAGCGCCCCGTCCACCAGCCCGACGGGGGGAGAGGCGGAAAGCGAGGGAGAGCAGGCAAGGCAGGCGGGCGGGCGGGCGGCTCCCCCGTCCCGGCCCGTCGGTCCAGACCCCGGCCCGTCCGCCCCCGCGCCCATGCGCGGCCCCCGGCGCCCCGCGGCCCCGCCGGCCCGCACCGCCCCTAAGCCGCCCGGCTCCGGCGCCTTCCCCGCGGCAGGCGCTCCGGGGGCGGGGAGGGGGGAGAGAGGGGCGAAAGGAAGGGAAAAAAAAAAAAAAAAGAAGAAGAAAAAAGAGGGAAAGGGAGGAAGAAGAAGGAGGAGGAGAAGCGGAGCGCGGGGAAGGCTGCTCCTCCGAGGACAGCGCGCAGCACCATGCAGCTGGCGCCGCTGGCGCTGGCACTCACCACGCTCTTCATCGACGGCTTGAGGACGGGAGCGAGGAGGCAGAAGCTGCACCCCAGGCAAGGTAAGGGGGTGCTCGGGGCGGGCGGGGCGGCGGGTGGGGGGTGCTGTTGGCTGCCGCCCCCGGGGGGCGCGGAGAGCTGGGCCACCCGCTTCAGCGACATGTGCATCTCTCTCCGCTCGCAGCCCAGCTGCTGGAGAAGCTCAGCGAGTAGCGAGATCGTGACTCCTACCCGGGTGGAATGAGCTTCGCGAGCCCTTCCCCACCGATGTCCCCTTGTCAGGCGGACGCCGGCGGAGCAAGCAGCGCTGCCCCCCGACGCCTGGACGGCGGCCGCCGCCGCCTGCCCCCAAGGCGCACTACAAGGCTGTCCGCCTTCGGGCAGCAGTTCCTCTTCAACCTGACGGCCAGCTCGGCCTTCATCGCCCCGCTCTTCACCGTCAGCCTCCTGGGAGAGCCCGCCGCCGACCAGCGGCGCCTGTACGCCGAGGCGGCCGACGCCGACGTGAAGCATGCTTCTACCGGGGGCACCGTCAATGCCCGCCGCGCTGCACCGCCGTCATCAGCCTCTGCTCCGGAATGGTGAGACCCGCAACCCGCTGCCGACTCCCGGCCGGGCGCCCGCCGGGGCCCAGGGCGGTGCGCCGGGGCGGAAGCGAGGAGGAGGAGGAGGAGGAGGAGCAAGGGCGATGGAGGGTTGGGCAGAGCTTTGGGACCGGCCCCTTCCCCCGCCCTCGGCCGCCGCTGGCGGCACCGGCTTTCCCCGCTCGGAGATTTCTCCGACCCCGCGTTTATTATTCCGTCGGGTTCCTGGGTGAGCCCCTCCTGCTCCACCGTTTTTGGGGGAAAAACTGCCACCCAGCGGCACCCCGGGGGTCGATTCGCGACGGACCCGGGCACAGACACCCACTTGCCCCCGCAGTGCCGGAGGGGGTGACGGGGGGCTCCCCAGCAGCGCCGGCCCCGGACCACCCGGCACCACGGGGCAGGAGCATGGCCCGCTACCTGGTACCCCAGCTTGGTGCTCTTCAGTCCAGGGATGTTGGCACCGGGATGAGCAGAAGCTCCCGGAAGGGCTGACTCTTAGTCTGCCCTGGTGCCTTTCAGCCCCCCGGATTGCCACTCCCAGGGGCTTCCTAGAAGCCTCTGCTGGCTCTGTCTGGTCCAGCAGCTCCTCTGGGTGCATGTGTGTACCTAGGCTAGGGCATGTGTGTGTGGCTGGGTGGGCCTCCTTCCCAGTTACTGGTCCAGCATCCCAGTCTGGGATGGTTGTAGGATGGTTTTTCCCTTGGATATCTTTTATTTGCCCACCAAATCCCTACGTTCATAGTCATGTGCAACTAGGAGTGTTGGTGTCTTCTCATAAGCAGGGATTTCAGTGGCTGGACACTGCCCTCTGGTCAGTGTGGGTTTAAAGCCTATCTTAGAGAGAAATGCTGTGTGAAACCAGCATGTGATGGGGTCATACTGGGGCCTCCAGCACATTGCAGCACCATTGCCCCTCAGGCAGGGTTGGCTTGGAAACGTCACTGACATAGGGATGGGGTCTGGCAGATGTGCCCCTCTCACACCCCCTGCCTATGACTAGTAATTATCTCTCTGTGAGCTCCAGTGGGATGACTGCAGGAAGCAGTGCAGCCCAGTGTGGGTGCAAGTGGTGTGACTGAAACTTGGAGCTGCAGCCTGTACCTTCACAGGGGTCGCTGTAGAACTGGACAGTCACACACCTCCCTTGTTAACTGCTCACTTTGTGGGGTAGTACTGCTCTGTGGTTTGTCATCGCCCAAAGCTGACCACCTTTTCCTCTGTCTGGTCCCTTTCAGCTAGGCACATTCAAGTCTGACGATGGGGACTATTTTGTAGAGCCGCTGCTGTCACTTGAAGAACAGGAGTATGAAGAAGAACACAATAAACCACATCTTGTCTACCGACACCGGACACCTCCAACCAACTCTTCAGGGGACAGGCAGACTTGCGATACTCCAGGTACTCGTTTTGTTACTGCCCTTGATGATTTGGCACTTAAAAGTGCTGTTTGCAGCTAAAAGGCAGGAGGTTTGTGTGGGACAGAAGAGATGTGGAGTTGAGGGACCCCTCCAGAAATGGTGTTGTGTGCGCTAGGACTGGGCTCGTGATAGTAATGCTGTCCTGGAGAGATGTGGTGCGCCTGTGCTTTCTAGTAATTGGCTATAAGGAAGTTGCGGTCAGGAAAAATGTTCCGGTTTCCCTTTCATCCCTGCTGTAAGGCTGGCAAGAGATCTTTTGGGCTGTCTTGCCTTAAATATCCTATGAGCCTCTAAAACTTGTTTTCTGTTTTCTCCTGTCTAACCGTCCATGGTAATTCCTAACCACCCTAATCTTATTTGCTCCCTGTCTGATATTCTGTTCCTATTCTTTAAATAACATCCTTCTGTCTTGGTCTTGCTGTGCTCCTGGTTTTCCCTCCCCAAATCTGGCTGTTGCATGTCTTTTCTTTCTAGTGGAAATGAGAAGGTCCTAACACCAACCCTAACAGTTCTTCCCTTATTAATCACTTTTTCACGGTTCATTTTCAAAGGCTTTTTCTTTTTCCTTGTGGCCCTTCCTCCACCACCACCATCTCCATGACCTCCTCACTCCTTCTTTCTAGTCCTTGCACATATGAAAGAGCACAGGCCTTTTTATCTCCCCTTCACGGGCCTTCATGAGCAATAGCCTTGCTCCTACTGTCCCTGTTATCTGCAGTGGCCTCCTGCTGTTCTCTGCTTTGTTGACTTCCTGATGTTCACAACTAATCCTCTCCTTTGGCAGCAAATACCTAAATTTTCTCTGAAGAAGCTTATTCCTTTAGTCTCCTGTTTCACCTGCTGTTTTGCCCTCTTCCTTTGGCCTGCAGCTAGATCTTCAGGAACTTTAAAGCCTAAACAGAGTAGACCTTGACTGGGTCCCCTTGCACGGGCTGCAAGCTGCTCATATGCTGCAAAGTAGGTGGAGTTGCTCAGGGAGTGAAAGCATCACTGGAGGAGAAGCGTGGTGCCAAAATTAGGATGCATTTAGCATGCGTGACTTGTTTGGCACCCATGACCATGGATCATGGCCGTGCTGTTGAGCTGTCAGTCTGTTCAGCTTGCACTGATCATGCTAAGTCAGAAGATGCTCTGATGCTCTGTGACCAGCCAGAGCACTAGCCACACGTGTTTCTTCTAGGAGACATGTGGATACAAGTCCACATGCAAGCATGTGTGCTGGGGTACAATGGTACCTCTCACAAGGCTGTCATTGTTTGTTCTTCCAAGGGTTGCTGCTGGACTATGCCATTCTGGTTTCTCTCTTCCAGCTGTTTCTGCTCCCTTCTTTGAGATCAGATGCAGGAGACTCAGAACAGTTGGAAAGAAACACGGAATCTGGCACATTGCATCAGTAGCCCTTGGAGGAACGGAGCAGCAGATCACAGGACTCATTGAATCAAAGGTAGCTGGGAGGGCTCTGACTTTGGCTTGTGGACTTGACTGTGCTGCTGTAACAGTGTGCTGTATTTCACCCCACTGTATCATAGCTTCCATTTAGGCTATTATTCTTCTGGATCGTGATCCAGAAGAATAATACTCCCTCTGTGGTATTACCTACACGGTGTATATCTCTTCCTCCTCTTTTCCAACATGCTTTGCTCATTTGCCTTTGTTTTCTTGCTCTGCTCAGTTGCTTCATGCAGTGGAGGGAGGAGGTCTCACCTCTCAAATACAAGCTTAAAGGTTCCTGATAGGCATGAGATCTTATTTGTCCTCCCGTTTTCTTTCCCTCCATCTCTGCCTCTCCTTTTTACCATTGTCCAAGCTTTTGAAAGGGAATGATGCTATGGTCATACGTGTATGGTGAACAAGTCTTGGTCATTTTGTTTAAGGAGTGAGTTCAGGGCAGCTTGGATAATGCTGAACTTTGGTGTCCTCCCTGGGGTTATGTCTGGTGAGTGAGGGTGTCTCATGTCTTTGACGCAGCAGTGAACATGCAAAATCTAGTAGCACTCACTGTTTGGGACAGGGTACATCTCTCACTCATACCAGAGAAGAGTGGATTCATGAGAGTTTAGGATTAGTCATAGCTGTGGGACGTTGTGTGAATCCAGTCTTTTGTCAGAAGAACGTGTGAAATGGTGTGTTTGCACCACAGGTTTTTGGCAGGGGTGGAAATTCGCTTGAAGAGGAAATTCATGCGCGGGAAATCTGAGGTACCCACCCTGCAGTGAGCAAGGGAGCCCACATTGCCGGGCAGTGGTACTATTAAAAATTACTTTCTGATAGTCTTCTTCCTGCTTCCTGGAAATGATTAATAAGCAACATGCTGGTGTGCCCTTGCCATGATGATGTAATTCTAGACTTCCTTGCAGTATTCCAGGAAACTTTCCCTTGTGAATTCATTGACAGATTGAGTAAAAGCTTTCATTTCCAGCAGTCTCCCTGGTCTTACTTTTAGTTTTCAGCGTCCTCAGGTCAGCTTAGAAAAACAGGTATTTGCTTTTGTTACATTTTAATTAGCAGTTTCTGATAACAGCTTTAGGTCCTCTGACATACAAGATACTCTGCAGATGTTCTGAAAAAAGATCCTTTTCCTCTGAACACTGATGGATATCGAATGCAAACTGTGCTCTGCAGATGAACTTTCATAGCACAGCACTGAGGTCTCTGGCAATGCACTTCAGCCGTCTGGCGTATAGCTCAGCCACCGCAATAAAAACTTTTGACAAAGTTTTCCTTGGGGTAACAGGTTAATGTAGTTTCAGTCATAGGAAATGGTGCAATTTCTTCTCCTTCCCTTCTTTTAGTTAGTGCTGTGAATCAATTTGTCATCTGGCCGAGGATCTGGCAGAGTGATTAGTTGTGTTGCACTGAATAGCCCTGACGGGATGAAGGCTTGGCCAGGCTGACAGTGTGATGTCACTAGGTGCAGCACCGCTACCACCCATCGCTTCACGATAGCAGGCTCTTCCGATCCCAGTTATTAAATATCCGCCTTTTTGAGGTGGAGGAGGAAGAGAAAAGAAATTGCGATCCTAAAAAAAGAAAAAAAAGGAAGTGGCTCATTGCGAAGCCGGAGCACGGAGCTTTCCTGCGCCCCGCAGAGGAACAGT